GCTTCAGATTCTTGAACAAAAACTTCGTGATGGGCTGCTCATCGATTTCTGTGCCACTTTTGTACAAAAAAATAGTTGTGCGGTAAAAGTTACGCCCAACTCGTCCTTTCCATTTCACAAAATCGTCCAGCTATATAAGTGCCAAGTGAACAAGACAAACAGGACACGCTTTACACCCTACTCCACCTGCGACATCATGGATGACAAACAGAAGTTTGCTGAAGCCATACAGATGAAGCAGTTTGCTTTTTTTGGAGTAGCCGTGTCCACCATCGCTGCTATAACAACCATATTTGCTATACCTATGTTGTGTGTCTATACTCAAAACGTTTACTCTGATATTCACGAAGAGTTGGCTTATTGTCGTGTTAAGAATGACGGTCTACAGAGCGAATACATCAAGGTCTGACGTCTATTCTTACAATCACTTAATATATTACTTAATTGGCCTATTATAACTGCGCGACGTGAGGACAGTTTTAGTTGATGAGCTCCCGGAAGCGGATTCTAGGATTTTGCTAAGTGCTCTCCGTAAGTAGTCGCTGATTGTTCTGAATTGAAAGGTAATCGCCACCCTGCCGCTTGGTTGCTTTCAGACCGGCTGTGATTCCTTTCATTGGTTTATACGTAGCCGAGCTTTCCGGCGTAAATATCTGAACTATTTTTGGCCTGGGAAATTGCGTTATGTAGTCGATCTCTGCAGAGTTCGAGGTTCGACACCGAAAAACATTCCACGGCCACCATGAGGTGGTAAACTACTAGGATTGCGACTGACTTACCGATACAACCACAATGATGTTGAGATATTTGCAAAACTCTGGACCACAGGTGTCTGCGGTGGGTGACCTACCGGTAGAAACCATCATTGCTACGAATGGTACATGCATAGTATTGGAAGAGAAAAGAATACTATGTTTCCTCAACAAATATTTCTGAGATTCACCCCGCTGCCGAATTTTTTTTAAATTAAGGGAGAAACTGAATTTGGACTTGGTTTATAAAGTGTTTTTCGTAACTTTTCAGTGATAAAAGGTTAAGAAAGAATGAAGCTCTCCGCGCCGATTAATCCCTTAGATTTGCGCAATGCATTCGACTTCACGAAGCTGTATTGGAGGTGATTGAATGCCTATCCGGCCTTTACAATGGCTCGCACTACCCTACCGACGTATCGTACCAGAGTTGTTATCTTCTCAGAGAAGTCTGTTACCAATTTGCCGACCCCGGAGGGATGGAGAAGGCCTGGTAAGCCTAGGGGGGCACGGATCGTTCCCATGTGTAATGCAAAGCTCCTCCAACCACTGCGCCATACACGCCTTTTTCCAGTGCTATATACACGCTATGGTATGCGGCGTTCTATCAGAGTAGTTGAAGAAATAATCTTCAACAGGAGCGACAGAATTTTGCTCCTTGGGCACAATTAAGCTGTGAAAGACAAGTGCACTTCCGGATAAGGCAGTGACTAGGCAAAAGTGTATTTTTTTGGAACATTTCTTAATAACTCAAAAGACTGACTTTCTATAAACCACGGCATAGATAGTTGATATATTTATTTATATGATCTTATAAACCGATCTTCTTTAGCTGCTGCGAGGTTGGTATAGGTCTTCGTTATCACTCTCGTTGTTGTTGATGTTGTCGGTCGATGGGTGACGTTTCGGCGATTTCGCCTTCCTCTGAGTCTGGTCGTATTTTATATAAGTATACTTTAATTATTCGGTGGAAATAAGGCTGAATTATTAATAAAGATCAAACTTTTAAATAGAGGCCATATTGAACAGAAAGGCTACTCATCATGATGTTACGAGTGGGACTGGCCCACGCGTTGTTAACGTGGGGTCGCGAGCAAGTCACACCGAGTGGTCAAAATATCATTTTAAAATAGTGCGCCAGGTCACGTGTGACAGTGAGGCGTTCGCCTTTCCGGTTCATTTTCGGATTTTTGAAATTTACCCAAAACGCCTCAAGAGTTTTGCGCGTTGATGTTTTCGATTCCTGCGCGAGGATCCGTCCAGTCGCTTCAAAATCATCTCCGTTGTGCTTCTGTGCCCAATGTGTACCTGGCGAAATGCTTTAACGAATTTTAACTTTCCCATTTAGATGTTCTTTTATGCGGGCAAAAAGCGGTCTACCCGTTTTCCCAATATATTCCTCACCGCATGCGTTGCATGAGATCAAGTACATTATACCTTTTTGCATTTTTTCTGGTTCGAAAGACCGTAATTGCAAGAAAAATGCATATTTGATTGAGAAAATGGCTAGTTGATGGAATGACAAATGTAGTTACCGGTAAACACAGTTACTGTAAGAAATATACAGTAACATAGATAATGGAACTATTCGGTGATTAGCTACTATACTCTGATTGTTAAGCTAACAAGAGGTTGATAAAGATGTTCATTCTGACGAATGTTTCGATGTCTTCGTTTTCATCAGAGCCGATGACCCGAGTCGATGGGCCACAGTCGATCGTCATCTCGGTGTGGTTTCTTCATCGTCGCATGGAGTTGGAACTTTTCCCACCTAGTGTTAAGTTAAGAATCAAAGGAGGTATTGAATATTGCAGCCGTGGTTGAATGATAGTCGGTTTAAAAAAATATTGTTCTGCTATTCTCTATGCGCTAGATAACATAATACTGATTGCTGCAGGGTGGATTATCCGTAGAAAAACAAATAACTATCAAAGGAGAGTAGTTATACGCTATAAAAGAACGTTGCCAGGTGAGGTTAGATCATTCGGGAGGTGCTTCACTGGAGAATATTCGACTCAATATGACGACGAATATACCACATTGAGAAAACGAAGAGAATTCGAATGGCGTTGACCGTTAGTTTTGAAAGAAGTAAGTTCAGGCTTTTGTGTCAACAGTGCGTGTGAAGCGGTGAGGTACTACTCTAGGGTGTGACGAGTAGCACGGTAGAGTAGCAGTAGTAGTAGTATAGTAGTGGTACCTAGCACACTCAATACGAAGACGGTGCAACACACCGATTTGCTACTTCGATCCCGTCAGTGGTCCACCAAACCTCTTAAACAACAACGTCGCGAGATTTGTTCGGAATAGTTTTACTACTCTTAATCTACGTGGAGAAGTCCTACCACGGCTGCCTTAATATTCCAGAGACAATTCACTCGTCCAGCATTCAACGATACTTGTGAAAAAATCCTCAAATGGTAGCCGAAGCCACGGGCTAGAAATTCGAAGAGCTTGTTGATAGTGGCATGCGGGAAACGAATCGGATGCAAGAAGTGCTGGGATCCGCAAAAGTTGCACATGAGACGTGGGGTCATGTCGCAAAGTAAATAACCATGCTAAGTCCTTTCGTCATGTCTTTGCTGCATTGCAAAAATCATGGAATTCGATTATTGGCGTTGTTGTTGCGCCTACTTACCAAAGCTTTAAAACTAATGAGATTAGCCTTTAGCAAGCATCTTGATACGAGGTAATGCGACCACTGCCAATTCCACAAATTTTTTAAATATGCGCAATTCGGTTTGACGGAGTAGTGAATCAGAAAGAACGAAGGGAACAGTGGCGTTGCGTTTCTGGTTTGATGTTTGAGGCGTCCCTTAATGTGAATGTCATTGGGACTGGAAATGCACTTTTGGTAGAGATAAACGGCAAGGGAGAACGACGTAAAGGCTGTTTTTCCTACAAGTTAGGAGACGTGCTAGTGTATAGCGAAATAAAAACATAGGAAACAAAATTCTAGTCATAATATCATGTAAATGTCTCGTATACAGTATATTTTGCTCGGAAACAGCTTTTATCTGAAAGTATACCTAGTATCTTTTTGAGTTGTTAAACTAAAATGTTGAAGTATTATAATAATATATAATAATATAAAACGACCAGAGGCAGAGTTTGGCCCGGTTGGCCTCAGCACTCTAGGGAACCATACCGGCTAAACCAGCAGAACAGAAAAAATTAGACGTACCCAAGTATAATATAAAACGTCGGAAAATATAGTTTAGCACGGGACCAACGATGTAAAAGCGAAGCTAGACGGCTCAAAATTTTTATTTCGGATAAGTCCATGCATCAAGAGCAATTCGTGGCCTGTGATACGAGACGCCGACGTTCCCTTATTAATCGCAGAGTTAGATTCTCGAATCTTATAAATAATACCAATATGTCATTATGTCACTATATCAATACATCGCAATTACGTCTGTATTCTAAATATGCGATAAACAGTAAAAGGGGCCATTGACGATGTGCTTTGGAAGCAAATGGTCATTGTGTAGATCCTTGCTCCTACGCCAGTCGGTCGCATATGCGTTTATGATAGATGAACCTGAAATGTTTTTGACTTCAAAAACCTACCCTTTAACTGAACGCTGTAGATTATTGAAAATCTTGGCCATATCGGCCTACAAAAAGGATTCAAACCATCCCCACTAATTTAAAAATGAAGGCGTTAGATGGACATGGATTCTTATGAGGTCTATCAAAGCTACGCATCCTACGGCTACACTCGTGCTCTCAGAGATCTTTTTGTACATGATTGTCGATTATTTATTCAAACCGCCGCGTATACCAGGGTTGGATAGTGACATCTTTCTTGTAGCGCAGTGATTTTTATAATATTCCTGAGAACTAAAACACGACCTTCTCCGTGCATGCTTCCTGCCTAACATAGTGCGCCCTGTGATGCTGAGATGTTTGCAAAACTATGGACTGCAGGTGTCTGCAGTGGTGAATAGTTCTATCGATCAGTGCTATCTGCAACCATCCATGCGTTAGCCCACGGAAATGGTAATGGCGCGGCTCTTTCCCCAGCGAAGACCTGCGGTTTGGAGTTTTGCAAATATCTCAGCATCATTGTGGTTGTTTCACAAATGATAGCCTGCCGTTAAAGCTAATAAAGCGCAGTAAATTAAAAATAAACTTAGTACGCGCTATTGAAAGTTTGTCACGCGCTTCAGATTCTTGAACAAAAACTTCGTGACGGGCTGCTCATCGATTTCTGTGCCACTTTTGTACAAAAAAATAGTTGTGCGGTAAAAGTTACGCCCAACTCGTCCTTTCCATTTCACAAAATCGTCCAGCTATATAAGTGCCAAGTGAACAAGACAAACAGGACACGCTTTACACCCTACTCCACCTGCGACATCATGGATGACAAACAGAAGTTTGCTGAAGCCATACAGATGAAGCAGTTTGCTTTTTTTGGAGTAGCCGTGTCCACCATCGCTGCTATAACAACCATATTTGCTATACCTATGTTGTGTGTCTATACTCAAAACGTTTACTCTGATATTCACGAAGAGTTGGCTTATTGTCGTGTTAAGAATGACGGTCTACAGAGCGAATACATCAAGGTCTGACGTCTATTCTTACAATCACTTAATATATTACTTAATTGGCCTATTATAACTGCGCGACGTGAGGACAGTTTTAGTTGATGAGCTCCCGGAAGCGGATTCTAGGATTTTGCTAAGTGCTCTCCGTAAGTAGTCGCTGATTGTTCTGAATTGAAAGGTAATCGCCACCCTGCCGCTTGGTTGCTTTCAGACCGGCTGTGATTCCTTTCATTGGTTTATACGTAGCCGAGCTTTCCGGCGTAAATATCTGAACTATTTTTGGCCTGGGAAATTGCGTTATGTAGTCGATCTCTGCAGAGTTCGAGGTTCGACACCGAAAAACATTCCACGGCCACCATGAGGTGGTAAACTACTAGGTTTGCGACTGACTTACCGATACAACCACAATGATGTTGAGATATTTGCAAAACTCTGGACCACAGGTGTCTGCGGTGTGGTGACCTACCGGTAGAAACCATCATTGCTACAAATGGTACATGCATAGTATTGGAAGAGAAAAGAATACTATGTTTCCTCAACAAATATTTCTGAGATTCACCCCGCTGCCGAATTTTTTTTAAATTAAGGGAGAAACTGAATTTGGACTTGGTTTATAAAGTGGCTTTCGTAACTTTTCAGTGATAAAAGGTTAAGAAGGAATGAAGCTCTCCGCGCCGATTAATCCCTTAGATTTGCGCAATGCATTCGACTTCCCGAAGCTGTGTTGGAGGTGATTGAATGCCTATCCGGCCTTTACAATGGCTCGCACTACCCTACCGACGTATCGTACCAGCGTTGTTATCTTCTCAGAGAAGTCTGTTACCAATTTGCCGACCCCAGAGAAATGGAGAAGGCCTGGTGAGCCTAGGGGGCACGGATCGTTTCCATGTGTAATGCAGGGCTCCTCTGACCACTACGCCACACGCGCCTTTTCCAGTGATAGGTCAGCAGTTTTGTCCATCGTTAAGGAGTAGATTGTTGTCTGTGCAATTCTGGGTTAAGTAGCATATTGGTTTGCTTGCAGCAGCAATAGAGATGGTTCTGCATAATCATTATAGTAACATTTCAGCTTGAAAGAGCTCGTTTTAAACGTCAGCTGCCTGGTTCGTGCTGTTCATGCGGTGTCAGCTCTCCTGGTCCACCTGGTTTGCCAGGTTTGGATGGTGATCCAGGCATTGATGGAAAGCCGGGTATTCCTGGACCACCAGGTGCTGACGCTGAAGATATTGACGCAGTTCCAACTGCCGACGATTTTTGTTACATGTGCCAACCGTCAGCTCCAGGAATGCCAGGACTGATGGGATTCAAAGGACCAACCGGTCCCCCTGGTGGGATGGGTGAGGTTAGTTCTGCTATAATATACTATACTACAATAAACTATTTGGGCATTTTCAGCAAGGAGCAGTAGGTCTTCCTGGTCCTAAAGGCCCACCGGGCCCAAGGGGACTGCCAGGACGAGAAGGCGAGGTCGGTTTGGAAGGAAAACCTGGACCACCTGGAGCAGTGCGAATACTCAATTCACCAGCTGGAGAAGTAGGACCTGCCGGACCGCAAGGTCCGGTCGGCCCAGCAGGAGTACCCGGCTCTCCTGGTCAACCTGGTAGGCTCGGTCATCCAGGTCCAGATGGAGAGCAAGGGGATGTCGGAACACCTGGAAAAGACGGTGAACCAGGTGAGCCTGGAACACCTGGAGAAGATGGTATGAAGGGATTATGTGATCATTGTCCGGTTCCACTCATCCCACCTAGCTACTGAGAAACTTTTCTTCAGCGAATCAAATTACCGTTAATTCGTACTGTCGGCAGTTCCTGTTTTCGTTATATATCTCCGTTAAATCTAATAAAAATCCAAATGTCGAAAAGGGCTTCAATAGTTTAGGTTGGAATAACTGTTAACGTTAGTGACTTTGTGACTAGAATAATTGCAAGAATTAGAAGATGCCGCATTTATTTTCTCTGGGCTAGTGCACTACACAGGCACGATTTTTAGCAGGACTGTTTCAAGGTGTAGCTATTTCAAGCAAATTTTTCGGTGACCCCTCTGCTTGAGTTCAAGGATGAGAAGGTTATGGCTAGGGTTTCCAGGATCATATCTCATCAATGAGCCGAAACTTGATTTAAATAATAACGATTTCTACAGACAATCTTCGACTATATAAAACTATTTTTGTGTGATCACTTTCAGATGAACAAATGAATGTTTTAATGGTTAAAGAGGAAAACTGCAGTCAATAGGAAGAATCCGAGAAAAGTTTTACCTTGAAAGCGATAGGCTTACACTATGACATATGATGTGCAAAGAAAATGAAATTCGCAATGAATGAACGGAATTGGGTATTGTGAAGGGTGACGATAAGAGGTGAGGCGAGAAACCGATTAGTTCGTGAATTTTCCAACTTTCCAATAGCAACGCTTTCTAGCTCATAACATTTCTGAGGTTAAACGGCAACGAAGTGATTTTACCGAAGGTTTCAAACAAAGTGTGGTCTAGTGTGTTCGTGATAAAACACGACTTCTGATCACTAATTTGTTTGTTTACAATTCATTGCTCTTCCTACTTTAATCAGTTGTGAGCAGCAGTTGTCCGAATTAACAACTTCTAAAATTGGCCATAAAAGAAGGCTCTCAATCATGCCTATGAAACAGGAAGCTTCACAACGTTTGTTTTATTACTTAGTTCACTTAAGGTTGCTATATATGTCAATTTTTCATCACTTGAGTTAATCCGCTTTAAAAATGAATAGCATTTGTCGTGCTTGAGAAATGAATCTGGAGCTGAACCTCTGTTTGGCCGTATTTTTCGAACGAATTACGTGGTTGTAGTTGTATAGCCCTGATGACCATTCCTAGCTGTGTGCCTGAACGTCCGAACCAGTTTCGACACATGTAATCACGAATTGCATCTTTCTTGCATGACCTTCTCTCAGTCTGCAACAAGTTGTTTATTTGCTGAACATAAAATGTCAAGATGTATAAAAAAATACTGCTTGGTTTTTTATTTTAAAAACTCGGAGAACGCACAAAATAAGTTTAACTACGTTGTTACTTCTCGTTGAGATAACACTTGCTTTAGTGAAAAATGACACCCAATCTGCAACAGCGATGAATCTTTGTCTGCACCAACTTAAAACTCACATTTAAAACAACCTAAATAAAAAACGCATAATTTTTGCAATATGGTAGATTTGGGAGCCCGTAGCGTAGTGGTAGTGCCTAAGCGTTAGTACAACCCGTATCTGGTCCACCTATCCTCTCGTTCCTACAGGATCGGGACATCGGTACCACACTAGTTTCGGACAAGTTGAATCCATCCAAACTATGCGGAACGTTCCAACGCGGCTGTATCAGGGATGTAGAGAGTGTCAACTCCACCAATATTGAGCGACATTAATAAAGATGATGAAAGTCCTCAAACGGCCGCTGAAGGTACAGCCAAAAAGTTCGAATAAATTGTGGCAGATAAGGGAAAAGAATTGAATGCAAGAAGCACTGTAGTAATAGCAATGTGATCCATCTGGTGTCGGATTACTCAATAATAATAAGTAGGACAAAGACAATTTATCATTTTTTATTACATCACCCGTCTATTGTCGCATCTATTGAGTTGATCCCAGCAACGCATTCACCGCCTACAAAAGTTTTTAATTCGCAGGCTTTAAACAAAACTGGTCCTAGTTTGATCTTGGTAAGAGCAGTCACCGTCTTAGTTTGTTGATAAGCTTCCATTAAATCTGTGAAACTTCATATGGTCGGCTATATTTCGAATGTACCATCACTTCCAGTGAGGTGTTGAATCGAGCCGAGTGTCAAATATACAAGTAAATGTTCTGCTAACCTTTTTTTTTCCTCAGCTCTATCACTGTTTCGAATCGAGTGCAATGGAATGAAATAGCATCACTGGGTGCGTCCTCCTATACAAAATATCTGGTTGTTGGTGAGTTATTTTTTCTATGACCGACTCCGCATATATCACTTTGCGCGAATCTCAGCAGTTTTGCATTGAGTTAGTTTTCTGGCTTCATATTTGCGTTTGTCTCTAGCTGCTGGTTGAGGATTTCGCCTCCTTTATGAATGTCGCTGAATGCTGGTCGAGTATTTTCGCTCTGGAATGCTGGGTGTGTTAAGAGGCTCCCTGGTCTTAACCACAAGCAGTAGTCAGCTCTTGTAAATCGGAAAGAGTTCAAAACAAACAAGACTCCTCCTGGAACAAGTTTACCAAATTAGGAAGAATGGCGGGCCTGCATATACCAGAGTTGAACCGGACCAGCGATCATGACTGTTTTATTCCACTTTGCCACTAACTACTCCATTTCTATCATGGTGTTTAATGGGAGTAGGGTTAGTAATTTGAAAAATTCGACTGACCACTTCAAGTGAGAATTTGGAATGTAAGGAAAGCAAAGCGTCACGTATGCCACTCTGAAAGGGTTTTGTTCAAAAATAGAATCATCAACTGGTGAATTGGCATTCAATGTTCATAATTTGCTATGCATCATGAGATCTTTTTAGAATGAGCCGCTCAAGATATTCCTCGGATATATGAAAAAAAAACCTGAACCAAATAACTCAATGAAAGAGTTAGCTTCATAAAACCTGGTTTATGACTCCATTAAAAAACTTAAGACAGCAGCAACAGCTGGCCTACACTTGAGAGCCTCGGCATAGTGAAGAAATAACGCAAAAGAAGCTTTTTGAAATCACCATAAGCTTCTATTTGTTAAAACAGCCTTTGTATTTCGTTCGATGAAATTTGAGCGCAAAATTATGGACAAGTATATTTCACCTCGTCGAAGTTCACACGATATCCAAAAGGACAGTGGCATTGCTCGAGATGATCCACGGAAAATAGCTATAGAAACAACCTCATAGACGGATTTTTAATTTCGGAGTGTGATGAAGGTGAATTCATCGAAAACCCAAGCACTGTACGGCTAAAATCTCATTTCAGTGAACTCTAAAGATGGCAACATTGCCAAAAAGTCGTCCATAATAGACAATTTCACCAGCCCCCTGAACACTTATCGGTTAACTAATTGCGCCAAATGAGAGCGAAATACGGCACCGGAAGTGTTTTAACAAAGGAAGACGTTAATGGAAAATGGGAAAACACTAGTCAATATACGTTAAAACCAAGGGCGTGTGTGGCGTAGTGGTCGAAGGCGCTCTGCAACACACAAGTGGAATAAATCCCAGTATCCATAGCCCACCAAGTCTTCCTTCTCTCCGTGGTCGGCAAATTGGTACCAGACTTGTCTGGGAGGATAGCAGCACTGGATCGATATATCGGCTGGCCACCACGTAAAGGCCATATATGCATTCAATCACCTCAAAGCGATCCTTGGTATAGTCGAATGCATGAAGTATCCCTCAGGGATTGATCAACGCCAACAACCTTATCGTTTTTATACATTAAATTATTGGGAAAGTTAGAAATCATCGAAGAACTCTTCTACGTACACATAGGGCACAAAAGCACAATGGCGATAATTTTAAAGTAACTATCCAGGTCCTACCGTGGGAATTAAAAACATCAACGCGCAAGACTCTTGAAGCGTTTCGGATAAATTTCAGAAATCCAAAGATGTGCCGGGAAGACGGATTCCTCATTATCACACGTGACCTAGCGCCTTGTTTCAAAAATTATTTTTTGACCAATGGGTGGGTCTCGCTCGCCGTCTCACATGAAGAACACACGGCTAGTCCCACTCATAGCAACACGGTGGTAGTCTTTTTGATCAATATGACGTCTATTTAAAAAGTTTGATCTTCCTTTGGCCTTTTTTCCACCGAATAATCGAAGTATTCTTGTATAAAATACGTCCCGGCTGTGAGGAAGGCGAAATCGTTCATTGATGAGGCTAGGTTTCTCAACAAACACCCCGTTCTGTTCTACTCGAGCACAGTCGGGATGTATTTTTCTGGACAAGATATGAAACTTATCAAATGCACTTTTAACCCATTTTTTGAGTACCTTTCACCGACTCGACATGCGGCATTCGTTCCCCATGAATCCAACCATGTCGGTTTAAATATGCACTGAAGGTGCCCTAGCCGAAAATTCCACTCGTTTCATCACCGCTCTAAGGTAGGCGAAATCGCCGAAACGTCAGCCGCCGTCCAACAACACCAACAGCAACGAAAACGACGGCGACAACGAAGACCCATACCAACCTCGCATTGGCTCAATAAAATCAGTTTATAAGATTACATAAATAAACATTAAAGTATGGTTTGCAGAAGCGACAATAATCTAATGCTCGAAGGTATTGCAGAGGTGTTTTTTTCAAGTTAATCTGCGCGTGACAGTAGCTTCGACGAGTAAGAGTAAGAAAAAGGATAAATTCTTACCGGCAAAACAAAAAATAAACAGGTTTAGCAGAAAAGAAAAACGAGAACTAGAAAACGGCTTAATGATGAGGCGTGCACGTTTAATCCATGTTCGAACCAAACCACATCTCTCTTGGTAGGTCAACGACAGGCGATGAGGAGTGGGTTCTGTCGAACAATTAAAGAAAACCTCACTATGTTTGGATCCATCCGAAACCGACAACCTAAGGAGAATGAGAAAAATGTTATGATGACTACCTAGTGATACCCAAACAATCGATGTTACATAATAAATCCATCACGTACTAAAAATATTATCATCATACGATAGCATCTATAAATGTTTTTTTCCAAGTATTCACGATGCTGTTAACGAGTACTTTATTTAGCCCACCGCTAGCGTTTCGGCATCGTCGACTTCTTCTGGGC